TCATGAAATCTCCAAGTCGCAGCAGGATCCAGCAGGCTCAGTCTCGCCCTCCCTTCCCAGTCGCAAGTTGGGTGTCAGACTCCTGTGATCATGTCGTAAGGATCAATTGTTCCTCCAACCTCGGCGATCGAAATCCAGAGCCATTCAGATTCAGTCAGCAAGCCTTTTTTGGCGGAGCGCCCCTCCGCAGTTGGATGTCTGGCCAGGCAGCCCACTCAACACTCCCACTGTGTCCATGTGATTCCATGTCACATCTTTGGTCCACATCTCTTCAGAAATTCGTTCCATCTGTGCCTGAGGTTGGAACCATGCCCAGAACTATGTTGTTCCAGTATTCATCTATCTGTGCTCCACCAGTACTGGGCTTTAACTGCACCTGGCTGTGGCTGCGTCATTGTAAACAGCGATTCCTCGACTTTTCTGCTGGAAACTGGCTGTGAAGAGAGCCAGCGACCCAGCGGCCTGAAAATGGCCGCCACTAGCATTGAGTGGATCTTCCCATTCAGGTCTGACCTCACTGAAATCTCAGGCAGCGCACAATTCTAATTCTGTAGTACCATAGCACCATTTTAGCACCATTGTTCGGGCCGATTTCCGACAGTTTCACTGCACCAGCATTTCCTCTCCTGAAAAAGACAGGCATGCGGCATGCGGCTTCCCAGCTCTGAGATCTCAGATCCTCACACCCTCTTTGAAGATCATGATGGCATCAATGGCTGTTGGTTGAGAGCCGCTACCCTGCGTCCGGTGCTTTTATTTGGATGGGGATATCCACAAACCGGTGATGGTTTACTGCGGATCAATGTCCCACAGTGGGAGCACGTTACGAAAGATCATTCATGATAATTCACATGAGCATTAACAACATTAATTAATATTCACAGTGATATTTGCATTGATATTTCTATTCAAGTTCAAGTGTGTAACATATATATATATATATATCCAGATCCATTACTATCCAATAACTCATGGCCCACGGATTGCTCCCCTCCGGCCGGATTGTCTCTGGTGATGCGCTTGTTCTCCAGGAGCTCACTGGGCTGGGGCACCTCAGGATGGCAAACCTGGGTCACTGGTTAGTCCTGGTTGCTCCGGTGCTTATTCCGAGGATCCCTTGACTTGCCCCATACAAAATACCTCAAAATACCTCAGGATATCTTATCCATCTTGCCCTGGTTCTGTTGAAGAAGCTTCCCCAAAAGGAACAAAGAATGAGGTGATCCAACCTGCCAGGGCCCCCACCCCGTTCCAAATGCTCCAGAATTCCTGCAACAGGGCGTGAAATGTGCCCCGAGCGAGCATATTCATGACTCATGACCCATCTCATGCCATCTCTAGAATTGTTCGCAATGAATCCACCAAGACCTGTCATTTTTTCCCGGCCAAAGAATGGCAGAATCATACCGTAAAACATGAACAAAAAAAACGTCGGTCGGCTGCGCATGGCTATGCACTGATCGATGAATTCAGTAAATCTCACGGCTACCGTCAGAGGCGTCCTGAGCAGTTTTGAAACCGACTATCTTTTTCAGTGACTCGTGGAAGCTGTTGCCTTAGGGTGCAGTGGTTCCCTGAGGCACCCCAGGCCATCATGCGCCGAAAAGTTGTTCAAACATGTTGAAACGATGATTTTAGGAGCTGTTCCCAATTGACAGGAATAGCTTTGAGGTCTCCAGCTGTTTTTGACCCGTACCCATTTGGATGGTTTTCCCCTTTAAAAACGGAGGTTCTCAATTCACATCTAGCGATCGTATGGTGCTTGGACTGCTGCTGGGAAACACCCTGACTGAGCACGCAACCCCCCGCAGGTACAGCCTGTACCATCTGATGGCTTGTGACTAACTGTGCATTCCTATGTGACGTGTGCATGGGAGAAAGAGAGAGAGAGAGAGAGATGCCGAGAAAAACCACTTGGACTGCATTCGTGAGCATACCTAGAAACACCACAGGCAACCAAAAAAAAAGTCTCAGGCCCCCAAAACCCAAAGAAAAACGCCGCATGAGTCTTGTTTTCCCTTGGTGGGTTAAAAACGCCTCTGGAAAGCAAAACACGCCTCAAACACACGCACAATTTTTCCAAAGCACTTTTGACTCCCCATGGCCACTTTTGCAAAGCCCACAACTAGGGACCAAACCCCTGACAAACAACCATACATACTGCTAAGGATTCCCTATGTAAGAAACGCTGCAAGAAAAACAATGCAGAAAACAACCCCTACAGTGACTTAGATGTAGCTGTCAACAAAGTTTCGCCTGAGAGGAAAAAAGGCCAGAAGAATCGCAAAATCCGTGATAAAAGCCTTTTGGACATGCTTCCGGCAAGATTTGGACCTCAATTTTCAGAGTCCGTCCATTACTGCCATTTTCCCACCCTTTTCCGCCGTTTTCCCGCCCTTTTCGGCCGTTTTCAGTCCTCTGAATTTTCTGTTTTTCCTGGTTGACCTTTGTTCTTTTCATGACAACGTATTTTGTTGTATTCACCTCCGTTGCCTTTTGGAAAGATGCTGCAAATGCCAGAATGCAACAAGAAATTCCAGTGAGACAGCATTTTCTGGGGCAATAGCCATGCCCCCGGTTTTGGATGATGTTGCACTATTGAGATTTGGAATTGGATTTGCCGACACTTTGTGTTCGCAGGTATTGAAATCAAGACAGCCAACGCTGTCATTTACCCATCGTAGAACAATCCAGAAAAGAAAAAAAGGATAACTATTTGGTGGTTTCAACTCCTCTGAAAAATATGAAAGTCAAGGGGAAGGATTATCCCATATGTTATGGAAAATAAAACATGTTCCAAACCACCAACCAAATAAATGATGACGATGACCCAAAAAAAAACGCCTCCGAAAATCAAAAATGCCTCAGCAAAACAACAAAATGCCCCGGATCAACTGGAGGTGCTGCAGACCCTCCGCGGCGTTTTTTTGCCGTGTGGTTTTTCCAGGTATACCATGTACAAATGCGTAATGTTCGATATGTGGAACAATTTCATGTATATCTATCCATCTATCTATCTATCTATATATCTTTCTTTCTTTCTTTCTTTCTTTGCTTGCTTTCTTTCTTTCTGTCTGTCTGTCTTTCTTTCTTTCTTTTCTTTCTTTCTTTGTTTCTTTCTTTTCTTTTCTTTCTTTATTTCTTTCTTTCTATCTTTATGTGCATATATATATATTTAAAACATTATATAATATGTGTGTGCGCACTCGTGTATATTGTACATGCGTAGAGGTTGGAACACTGCGTCTCACGCGCTTCATCACAGCACAAACATATGCAGAAGCAACATGAACACACATGAACATCTACAAACAAATAAGAAATCAAACGATACATTCAGCGATATTCAGCGGCTGTTCCTGGTTGTTGAGTTTGGATCGCGACTCATTCACGTATTACATCTGCAGACCTTCTCAATGATATATTGGATTTTGATGGATTTTGCCTATTCAGAGAACACACCATCAGATTCACTTCACTCCGGGTCACCTACGGTGGCACTGACAGCTGACCCACGCAATCAAGTTATCTCTGCCGTTTCAACACTTGAATCAGCATGAGAACGCCCAGCCTGCTCCCACAGAACCCAGGTGTCTTTTAAAGGCATTGGGTCCTGCGAGAGGAGCGCCACATGTCGAAATCATGTCAAATAGCAGTCTTCCAATCGGCAAGTGGGGATGTGTTGGTGGCAATGGAGACTTCTTGACGGACATTTGCATATGACATTTGATATAATTATATAGGGTGTAGAATAGTTTTTGGATGTGTTTTTGCCTCAGGTTTTGGAATGTTTTTTGGCTTTCTTCCCGGTACCATTTGCTCTGTATTTGCAACAGTTTGGAACTAGAACCTGTCATTTTGCATGGTATTTGCAACATTTTGGCATGGTCACTTTGCATTTGCATGGCATTTGCTACATTTGGCCATGTTCGCCTTCCATTCTGCATGGTATTTGTCACATTTTGGCATTTCAACCTCTCATTTGCATGGTATGTGCTACATTTTGGTGCTTCAAACGTTCAAGTGGGTCTCTTGAGGGTTTTTTAGGCTTTGAAATAGGATTTCATTTAAGGTTTCATTTAGGATTTTATTTGGAGCTTCATTTGGGGTGTCTTTAGGGTTTCTTTAGGGTTTCATTTAGGGTTTCTTTGGGGTTTCATTTAGGGTTTCTTTAGGGTTTCAGTTTGGGTCTCATTTAGTGTCTCATTTAAGGTTTCTTTAGGGTTTCGTCTAGGGTTTCTTTGGGGCTTGTCTAGGGTTTCATTTAGGGTTTCTTTAGGGTTTCTTTAGGGTTTGATTTGGGGTTTCTTTAGGGTTTCATTTAAGGTTTCTTTAGGGTTTCAATTTAGGGTTCAATTTAAGGTTTCATTCAGGAGTTCATATAAGCTTTCTTTAGGGTTTCATTCCAGGGGTTCTTATCAGAAATTCTTTTCACGATTTCTAAACGTTCAAGCGGGTTCCTTTAGGGTTCCTTTAGGGTGTCATTTAGGGTTTCTTTAGGGTTTCGTCTAGGGTTTAATTTAGGGTTTCTTTCGGGTGTCATTTAGGGTTTCTTTCGGGTTTCAGTTTGGGTTTCATTTAGGGTCTCATTTAAGGTTTTTTTAGGGTTTCATTTAGAGTTTCTTTGGGGCTTCATTTAAGGTTTTTTTAGGGTTTCAATTTAGGGTTTCAATGTTAAGGTTTCATTCAGGAGTTCATGTAAGCTTTCTTTAGGGTTTCATTCCAGGGTTTCTTACCAGGATTTCTTTTTACGATTTCTAAACGTTCAAGTGGGTTCCTATGGGGTTCCTTTAGGGTTTCATTTAGGGTGTCATTTAGGGTGTCTTTAGGGTGTCATTTAGGGTTTCAATTTAGGGTTTCAATTTAGGGTTTCATTTAGGGTTTCAATTTAGGGTTTCATTTAGGGTTGCAATTTAGGGTTTCATTTAGTGTTGCAATTTTCATTTAGGGTTTGCGAAAAAAAACAAATAAATAGCCTTCCAATTATATACATTACAAATCTCGGAGGATATATTTCTGGGAGGGTTCCCTTTGGTCTTGGTTTTGCCACCCACCCGAGGCCCGAGGCGGTCCAGCAGTGCTTTCTGAGTGTCGCTGTCTTCCTGGCAGCTGGACATGGCTGGACTGGGCACTGGTGAAGGTTGAGCATAGCGCCTCGCCTCAGGCAAGCCAGTGATCTGGCCTTTCCCACCAACAGCCTGGCACATTCACACGCACCTGCATTTGTGTAAACAAATTTATAATGGATATATGTACAGTACAACATATCGTTGGATTGATATCCATCTTAGTTCTCAATACTGTATGATCATGCGTGCATTTCAGATATACGCATCTGCCTCATTCTGACTCTGTATAAACCATAGTACTTGGAATGTAGTTGCACCAACTGCATGTTCCGAATTCCCACGGCCCATGGCGGCCCAGGGCGCCTCGTTGAAGCTGAGGAACTGCATTGCCCAAAGCAATACGATAAATAATCTGCGGAGCCGGGACAGTTCGTTCATTGGCAGGTGCCATGATGGGACCTGCATAGACCTGCCTTCTGTCGGGGCTTTGGGGTAAGGTTTTGACAGTCGACGTGTGCAATGAGGCACTTGGTGGGTACGTAGCAGTAGTTTCATGCGATCAAGAGCCTTGCAAATTCCAAAGCGGCGCACTTCCGACTGAGATTGTGGCCTCAAAAAGGTGGAAGGCTCTTACACAAGGCCTGCACAAGTGCAGGAATGCCGCCCCAAATGTGGAACCAGCGCCTAAAAAGGCATGACTAGAACGGCTCCCTTCCCAAAAGCACACACCCAATTTCAGCAGCCTTCCAAGAAAGCTCGGACAAGATGGGACAAGTGGAGATATGCTCCACAAATCCCTCTGAACCAAAATGCACCCGCGGCAAGCGGCCAAAAAGGTTTCTCTCCGACCTGCGGCCCCTTTTTTGACCCCTAGTCCTGTTTGTTTGACCCCCAGGTGGTTTTTCAAACCCCTGCACCCTGTTTTATTGACCCCTGTGTCTTTCAAACGAATGAACTTATTCAATGCATGGGTTTGCTTCATGAAGAGAGTTCAAAGTTTATAAGAATGCCTTTGCCAGTCTAGAGTTAGTAGGCGCGAGTAAAGAAATTAATATTGATAAAATATTACATTTTGATAATCTAAACGCCGATTCAAAATTAAAATGTATATACCACTAGTACCCGCACGAGGCGGGGCGGAAGTTGCCTTAGGGACATATATATATATATATATACATATATAACCTCTCTCATCTATAGAACTTGCATGCGCCGTGCGCCAGCCAAGCCCGTGCGTGCGTGCATTCTGCGAAAGTGGTGTTCTGTTCACATGTCACATTTGAAGCTCCACTTCGCACTTCACACTTCACACTGCGCTCTTCACGCTCCACACTTCACACTTCACACTCCACACTTCACACTTCGCACTGCACTCTTCGCACTCCACACTTCACTTCACACTGCGCTCTTAAGACTCCACACTTCACGCTCCACACTTCACACTTCACAATCCACACTTTTCACTTCTCACTGCTTTCTTCACACTCCACACTTCACACTGCACTCTTCACGCCCCACACTTCACACTGCACTCTTCACACTCCACACTTCATCTCATCTGAGCTCTTATCACCTTATCCCAGCTCATCTCTTCTCATATGTCATCTAAGTTTTCATGAATCACTTCCTAGTACTACTACTAAGGAACTTGCATGCGCCGTGCGCCAGCCAGGCCCGTGCGTGCGTGCTTTGTGCGAAGCTGTTGCTGTGTTGCTGTCCCAGAACATGACCTGCGCGCGACCCCGGTGCAATGCAACGTCAAACAAACACTTTCCTCACACTTCACATTGCACTCTTCACACCCCACACTGCACACTTCACACTTGCACTTCATCTCAACTCATCTCATCTGAGCTCTTTTCATCTCAATCCATGTCTTCCCATATGTCAGCCAAGTTCTTCTTGGCAATTTTCATGTCAACTACTTCCCAGTACTGATGTCTACTACAAAAGCTTGCACAAAGCACTTCCCAGTACTACTGTGTACTACAAAGCTTGCACAAACTACTTCCCAGTACTACTTTGTACTACAAAGCTTGCACAAACTACTTCCTAGTACTACTTTGTACTACAAAGCTTGCACAAATTATTTCCCAGTACCACTTTGTATTTCAAAGCTTGCACAAACTACTTCCCAATACTACTTTGCACTACAAAGCTTGCACGAAGCACTTCCCAGTACTACTTTGTACTACAAAGCTTGCACAAAACACATTCCAATACTACTTTTTAGTACAAAGCTTGCACAAACTACTTCCCAGTACTACTTTGTACTACAAAGCTTGCACAAACTACTTCCCAGTACTGATGTCTACTACAAAAGCTTGGAAAAACCACTTCCCAGTATTACTTTGTACTACAAGGCTTGCACAAAACACGTTTCAATACTACTTTGTACTACAAAGCTTGCACAAACTACTTCCCAGTACTACTTTGTACTACAAGGCTTGCACAAACTACTTCCCAGTACTACTTTGTACTACAAGGCTTTCACAAAGCACTTCCCAGTACTTTTTAACACTACAAAGCTTGCACAAAGCACTTCCCAGTACTACTGTGTACTACAAAGCTTGCACAAACTACTTCCCAGTACTACTTTGTACTACAAAGCTTGCACAAACTACTTCCTAGTACTTTTTAACACTACAAAGCTTGTACAAAGCACTTCCCAGTACTACTGTGTACTACAAAGCTTGCACAAACTACTTCCCAGTACTACTTTGTACTACAAAGCTTGCACAAAACACGTGCCAGTACTACTTTGTACTACAAAGCTTGCACAAAACACTTCCCAGTACTACTTTGTACTACAAAGCTTGCACAAAGCACTTCCCAGTACTACTGTGTACAACAAAGCTTGCAAAAACTACTTCCCAGTACTACTTTGTACTACAAGGCTTGCACAAACTACTTCCCAATACTACTTTGTACTACAAAGCTTGCAAAAACTACTTCCCAGTACTACTTTGTACTACAAGGCTTGCACAAACTACTTCCCAATACTACTTTTGTACTACAAAGCTTGCACAAACTACTTCCCAATACCACTTTGTACTACAAAGCTTGCACAAAGTATTTCCCACTACGTTTAAACAAGCTTGCACAAAGAAAGCTTTTACACACAGCAAGTTCTTTCGCAGAGAAGCTTTTGCACACAGCAAGCGTTTTAAACAGAGAAGCTTTTACACACAGCAAGCTTTCACACACAGCAAGCTTTTACACGCAGAACACTTACACACAGTGCTTTTACACATGGCAAGCGTTTACACACACAGAAACTTTTACACAGAGACGCTTTTACACACAGAGAAGCTTTTACACACAACAAGCTTTTACACAGAGAAGCTTTTACACACAGCAAGCTTTCACACACAGCAAACGTTTACACACAGAACACTTACACACAGTGCTTTTACACACAGCAAGCTTTTACACACAGAACACTTACGCACAGTGCTTTTACACATGGCAAGCGTTTACACACACAGCAAGGTTTTCGAACAGAAAAGCTTTTACACACAGGGAAGCTTTTACACACAGCAAGCTTTCACACACAGCAAACGTTTACACACAGAACACTTTTACACACAGTGCTTTTACACATGGCAAGCGTTTACACACACAGAAACTTTTTTACAGAGACGCTTTTACACACAGCAAGCTTTTACAAAATCTTTTACACACAGCAAGCTTTCACACACAGCAAGCGTTTACACACGGAACACTTACACACAGTGCTTTTACAAATGGCAAGCGTTTACACACACAGCAAGCTTTTTAAACAGAGAAATTTTTACACATAGAGAGAAGCTTCTACACACAACAAGCTTTTACACAGAGAAGCTTTTACACACAGCAAGCTTTCACACACAGCAAGCTTTTACACACAGAACACTTACGCACAGTGCTTTTACACATGGCAAGCGCTTTCACACACAGAAACTTTTACACGGAGACGCTTTTACACACAGAGAAGCTTTTACACACAGCAAGCTTTTACACACAAAATCTTTTACACACAGCAAGCTTTTACAGAAAAAAGTTTTTACACAGAGAAGCTTTCTTGTACATAATCACAACAGGAATTGCAGCTCCAAAACCGGATCTCGATGCCAAAGCAACCAAAAGACTATTTTGAAGCATTTTTAAAAGGATGTTTAAAAAGAAAATTACTAGCGCCAAAATTGAGAAATCTGCTGACAAATCACTGTCGCAGCCTTGATGCAGCCACACCAATACATTCCAATACTAATTATTTACGAGATCCAGCTGCAAAAGACAATAGTATTGCGCATGCAGCCGCGGCACGAAGCAACCTTGACGCAGCCATTACAATGCGATCTGCAGAGACTGACTTGCGAAGCACAATAGAACTACGCGCAACGGCGTCGGAAATTGCAGCTCCAAAACCGGATCCCGACGCCAAAGCCAAAAAAAGACGATTTTGAAGCACTTTTGACAAGGATTTTGAAAAGGAAAATTGCTAGCGCCAAAATCGAGAAAATCTGCTGACAAATCAATATCCCAGCCTTGATGCAGCCATTCCAATACGATTTACGAAAGCCAGCTGCAAAAGACAATAGTATTGCGCATGCAGCCGCGGCACGAAGGTTGACGCAGCCATTACAATGCGACCTGCAGAGACTGATTTGCAAAACATACTAGAACTACGCGCAACGGCGTCGGAAATTGCAGCTCCAAAACCGGATCCCGACGCCAAAGCCAAAAAAAGACGATTTTGAAGCACTTTTGACAAGGATTTTGAAAAGGAAAATTGCTAGCGCCAAAATCGAGAAAATCTGCTGACAAATCAATATCCCAGCCTTGATGCAGCCACTCCAATACGATTTACGATGTCCAGCTGCAAAAGAGAATAATATTACGCATGCAGCCGCGGTGCCAAGCAACCTTGACGCAGCCATTCCAATGCGATCTGCAACCACAGCTTCAAGAAACGCATAGAACTACGCACACAGGAACAACCACTTGTTGCAAAACACATAGAAGCAACCACAACGACCGCAGCCGCACCCGCTGCACACACGAGGTACCTTTCATCGCCGGCTGCAGCCACTTTACACAGAAAATTACAAGGTTTCGTGCTCCGGCTTCCTCCCCAAAACAGCCCATGCAACTTTCATGCAGCCATTCCATTGCGATCTGCACTCGTTGCAAAACACATAGAAGGAACCACAACGACCGCAGCCGCACCCGCCGCACACACGAGGTACCTTTCATCGCCGGCTGCAGCCACTTTACACGGAAAAACACAAGGTTTCGTGCTCCGGCTTCCTCCCCACAACACACGGCATGCAACATTCATGCAGCCATTCCAATGCGATCTGCAACCACAGCTTCAAGAAACGCATAGAACTACGCACACAGGAACAACCACTTGTTGCAAAACACATAGAAGGAACCACAACGACCGCAGCCGCACCCGCCGCACACACGAGGTACCTTTCATCGCCGGCTGCAGCCACTTTACACGGAAAAACATGGAAAAACACAAGGTTTCGTGCTCCGGCTTCCTCCCCAAAACATAGCCCATGCAACATTCATGCAGCCATTCCATTGCGATCTGCAACCACGGCTTCAAGATCCGCATAGAACTACGCACACAGGAACAACCACTCGTTGCAAAACACATAGAAGGAACCACAACGACCGCAGCCGCACCCGCCGCACACACGAGGTACCTTTCATCGCCGGCTGCAGCCACTTTACACAGAAAATTACAAGGTTTCGTGCTCCGGCTTCCTCCCCAAAACATAGCCCATGCAACTTTCATGCAGCCATTCCATTGCGATCTGCACCCGTTGCAAAACACATACAAGGAACCACAAGGACCGCAGCCGCACCCGCCGCACACACGAGTTACCTTTCATCGCCGGCTGCAGCCACTTTACACGGAAAAACATAAGGTTTCGTGCTCCGGCTTCCTCCCCAAAACATAGCCCATGCAACATTCATGCAGCCATTCGAATGCGATCTGCAACCATAGCTTCAAGAAACGCATAGAACTACGCACACAGGAACAACCACTTGTTGCAAAACACATAGAAGGAACCACAACGACCGCAGCCGCACCCGCCGCACACACGAGGTACCTTTCATCGCCGGCTGCAGCCACTTTACACGGAAAATTACAAGGTTTCGTGCTCCGGCTTCCTCCCCAAAACATAGCCCATGCAACATTCATGCGGCCATTCCATTGCGATCTGCAACCACGGCTTCAAGATCCGCATAGAACTACGCACACAGGAACAACCACTCGTTGCAAAACACATAGAAGGAACCACAACGACCGCAGCCGCACCCGCCGCACACACGAGGTACGTTTGCACCGCCGGCTGCAGCCACTTTACACGGAAAAACACAAGGTTTCGTGCTCCGGCAATGCGTTTTGCAGAATCACGTGGCTAACCCGCATCTCTCTACGCACATGGCAGCACCAACTGACAACAATCATGCAGCCATTCCAATGCGATCTGCAACCAGAGATTTTTTAGAACTACGCACACAGGAACAACCACTCGTTGCAGAACACAGAGGAGGAACCAATTCGCGCATGAAACGACCGCAGCCGCACCCGCCGCACACACGAGGTACCTTATGTACCTTTCATCGCCGGCTGCAACCACTTTACACGGAAAAACACAAGGTTTCGTGCTCCGCCTTCCTCCCCAAAACAAAGCCCATTGAGCGATTCATGCAGCCATTACAATGCGTTTTGCAGAATCACGTCGCAAACTTGCACATATCTACGCACATGGCATCACCAGATGACAACAGTCATGCAGCCATTCCAATGCGATCTGCAACCAGAGATTCCAAAACACCCTACAACTATGCACACACAAGCACACCCAAAGCAGCTTGAAGCCACCGTTACAATGCGGCAAAAAAAAAGGCAAACCGACCGCAGCCGCACCCGCCGCACAGACGAAGTACCTTTCATCGTCGCCTGCAGCCACTTTACACGGAAAAACGCAAGGTTTCGTGCTCCGGCTTCCTCCCCAAAACAAAGCCCATGCAACATTCATGCAGCCATTACAATGCATTTCGCAGAATCACGTCGCAAACTTGCACATATCTACGCACATGGCATCACCAGATGACAACAGTCATGCAGCCATTCCAATGCGATCTGCAAGCACAGATTCCAAAACACCCTACAACTATGCACACACAAGCACACCCAAAGCAGCATGAAGCCACCGTTACAATGCGGCAAAAAAAAAAGGCAAACCGACCGCAGCCGCACCCGCCGCACAGACGAAGTACCTTTCATCGTCGGCTGCAGCCACTTTACACGGAAAAACGCAAGGTTTCGTGCCCCGGCTTCCTCCCCAAAACAAAGCCCATGCAACACTCATGCAGCCATTACAATGCATTTTGCAGCATTCCCTTCATCACCACTTCCCTCCGTCACCACTTTCCATCGTCACCCCTTCCCTTCCTCACCACTTCCCTTCGTCACCACTTCCCTTCATAACCACTTCCCCTTCCTCACCACTTCCCTTCATCACCACTTCCCTTCCTCACCACTTCCCTTCCTCACCACTTCCCTTCGTCACCACTTCCCTTCGTCACCACCCTGTGTCATAGCTTCTTATTCTTTTGTTATGTATTGTTATCTGATGTACCACCCTTCATCAAGGTAAATTCCATCAGGTAAAAGTCATTCGAACTCCGAAGTATTGCTTCCCAACTTCCTTTGATAAGTCCACTCGTTTTGGAAATACTGAATCACATTAAAAGAAATGAATTGACGATTGGAAGTAACATGTTTATGCTTGATCATGCTTGATCAACACACGTTTGAAAAAATGATCACAGAATCAATCACGAGATTCGTCCCTGGTTGTCATCAAGCTCAAAAGTTGATTAAATGTGCTTATTATATAGTTTTGTTATCACTGTTTATTAATAGTGAATGTAGGTAGCATTGTTCATCCAGGGTGTGCCTTTGTTTGGGATAATGAGTGATAATATTGCCTTTTCACCCTTGCTACTATTATTGTGATAATGGTTGTTTTAGTGGTAAAATTCCCACAACAAATGCATGTTGCAAAACACATGTGGTGGGGAGAAGATGAACGAAGTGTCCCCTAACCACCACAAGGGCGGGGAGACAACTTTCAAGACAGTTTGTGGATCGGAATGGGCCAATGTTGAAACGCTGCATCATGTAGATAACATCATGCAAGTGGGAAGGCCCTTCCAACCGTAGCAGGAGGCTGCTATCAATCATCCCAAGCATGGGTATGAGTTGTCAACCATAGCAACCTCATCCAAATTATACGGTATACAGTGTGTATAGCCACTAACTACCAAACCTCATGCTGGGGATTGTTCATTACTATGGGTCTCCTATCAGGGTGTCAGGGTGAACAGAATTCAAACGTTGAGGGATCATTTCCAACAAACGGCATGTTTGCACAATTTTGCTCGGAACAATCCTCAAGTTCGCCGGTTAGCCCACGGTTTTTTTTCCAAACTTGTTTGACATCTCATTGCGCAGCGCTTCTCCTCCTGCGGTCGTGGTCATGGTGACATATGATGCATGGGCAAAGGTTGAATCCCTGGCTGTTTGATTTTGGATCAATCTTGAAGGAAAGCTGGTGTTTCTTGTTTTCTTTCCCCGTTATTGCCCCCCAAGTTCTGCGAATTTTGTCATGTTCAGTCGTTCGTGATGCCTCCAAAAGCCTTTTGGCAGCTCGGACATTCATTTTAAGCTCAATGGGTTCCATACACACCAACCAGTCTCAGCCAGTGTCTTTTTCGTTTCAAATGCAAGGTTGACCTGATCCTCCATAACTTGTGATCTTCTGAACTGACTAATGAAACCCCAAAATAAACCATCCCCAACTTTAGCTCATTCCTGGGTATACCCCTATGACTTGGATGATTTGGAGTGATGGGATGGTTTATGGCATCCGCTGCACAGTAGTCGTCGGACAGGACCCTTTTGCGACGTGCCGCCTCCGCACACCGCAGCGTGCACTGATCTGTCGCGCCAGGACCCACTAAAATGCTGAAGGATGAGGGCGGAAAATCAGAAGACCGAGACACAACAGTAAAAAGTTCCGCATCTTTTGGGTGCATCGAAAAACTGACTCCTCCACCATGAAATTCACCAAAATTCTGGAGATACACCATTGGATATTTTGGACAAACATGGACACCATTTCTATCCAACCACCTTTCCTGGACCGCTGCGCCGATTCGCATCCTCCGGCAATCCTCCGGATCGATCAAGCGTCACTTCCAACGCCTTGCGCCAGCACTCCAAAATGCTGCAGGTGCCCTCGAGCCCAGGTGAGCCCAGCTCACATTGAGATGATTCCCAGGAAGATCCAGGAAGGCAAAACCCCAAGCATCTTAGCTATTTTGGATGTGGTTCTGATGGTTCTGGGAAAAAGAAAATCAAGCAGTTTTGAATAATTTCAATTATTTTGATACATGTTGTGACCTCAATATCTCACAAAGCCGAGACCAATTGAAACATTGTATAACATTGCCGGAGGTCTTGTCGTTGAGCCACCCAGGGACCAAGGTTTTAGCTGATTTTGACTAGTCCGTCTCTCCCCGGAACATTGATGAAGACTTTAAACCGCCAGCCAAGTAGTTTGGGTTACTTGCAAATGCACATACATCATACATGCATAGTATATAATATTATATATACACACATACCCCCCAAACATCCCCCAACCATTGATTATGTTCAGTCCATTCTTGGCTGTAAAAAGATAATGTCATGGCACGATTGCCTTCCCAGCTCCTCGTGTGACTAGGCAACTCTTGCCCCAGCTTGAGACAAGCCTGCCCCGGCGGCCAATCGGAACTGGCCCAACCAGAGCGTCTGCTTGCCTGCCTGGTGGTCAAGGTCGCCAAAATATAAGCGATAAGCCCACCGGAACATTCAAAGTTACTGCCAGTTTGCTGCCTTGCTCAGCCTCAAGCGGCTTCAAGCTGTGCACGTCGGAAAACATGTTACATGCATCTCGCGTGTCTGGGGTGAAACCACCACGATTCTTATAGCGTCTCATGTCGCCATGGACGACTTGTTGTGGTGTTCCACACACATCAGGGATACACATGTTGAAGGATCAGCACCTCACATACTCTGCTGAGACAGTCAATCAGCAATCACCAGGTACACCAGCAGGAAATGAGAAATAATGAGAATGCCATCTTTGCCCTTCAGGTATTATATAATTCAGTCCGTTATAGTCCTTCACATGTGGTGAGACATACAGGGATTATCGGTTGAAAGCCGGGTGGCAGGGCCGGCTCACTGGACAACAACTCACCTGAAGACACTGCAATTCACCTGTTTGGAAAAATGAACAAAAGCATCCGCAGATATCCGCAGCCCTTTCATCTCTTCACACTAGGACTGAGTATGACTGAGTTTCAAGCTCCCTTGGCTTGCCTGGCCAACGTTGGAACATGGCGCCACGCTGGGGTTTGATTGAACCCAGGTGCAAACAGCCGATGCTTCCTCGCACCATGTTCCAAAAAAATCAATGAGGGCAAGGAGAACAGCTGAAGCTTCACAGCCTTGCCTTTGCCACCACCTTTTCCTTTGCCGCCACCTTTTCCTTTGCCTTTCCCTCCATCTTTGCCTTTGCCTCTGTCCTTTCCTTTCCCTCGGCCTGGGCATTGGTCGATTCGGAAACTCAGCCAATCCTTCGCTGCCAGCCGGCCCAGCCTTTGCCTTTCCCCTTGTCACCCTTTCTATAGCCGCCCTCTCTGCGATTGGCCTCGGCCCAAGCCCAAAGTGCCGGATGGTGTATGCATACTTGCGTCTTTGCGTGTACACATGTCTATATATATACACACACACATCAGCACACGCACATATAGTCTATGTATCTTTATATGTGTAATATGTGTTTTCGTTTAACGATTTTTGTCATTGATTTATTTGTCAATTGATGATTAGTTGTTTATTTGTTGTTGTGATTTTTGTTTGCGTGTATATTCATTTATATACGTATTTATGTTATTGTTTATTTATGCACGTTGTTTGTGCATTTGTTTGTTTATTTATTCATCTAGTTTTACCACCAAAAAATATATAATGCATTTATAATGTGATGTGATGACATGTAATGTTATGTTATGTTATGTGGTGTGATATAATGCAATGCAACATAACGTAATGCAATTTGTGAATACATGTATGTATAATTATGTATACATGTATATACCATGCATGTGTGTGTGTGTGCGGATATGTGCGCATACATGCATATATATATAACATAACCCGATATGTGGCGAAGTAACTAGCTCAGCATTCTATATCACAAAGTTCGAAGTAAAACGAAGTACATAAATGTGGGCAAAAAAGTCCACATTCCCAAGGTTGAAGCAGGATAGTCATCGCAACACCCCAGTTTTTCCACTGGGGACTCCCAGCGAAGCGCTCCAACTCAGGAGGGATTGTGGCGCCACTCCTCACCAGCACGGCGGCAATTTCCTGCGCTTTCTTGTCCTGGACACGTGATTAGAATCATTTGCGCGTGATTAGAATCTTAATTTCCAGGTCTGGGGCTGAACATCAAAAATCAACCAATATCAACCACAAAAAAAAGGTGCAGATGATGATTTTCGCCAGTAGAATAGCCAGTAGAATGGGCATCCATGGGCATCCCCGGTTTAAAACGACACACATTCTGCCAACCACAGGTCCAATAACACTGGAGTTGCACCTCGGCACCAGAAGTTACTGGAGATGTTGGAGATTCGAAAAAAAGGTCCAGGAAAAAAGACCCGGTCTGGATTCATGTCTCAGCCATTATGGAATATTATGTAATATTATTATGTGATATTATGGAATATTATGTAATATTAATATTATTCAATATATTTTAATATGATGTGCCCATTCTGCCATATTTGCCGCAATTATACATGATCTTACAGCAATTTACAACATTTTGATCATTTCATCCCCAAAGATTCAACTCATCCAGGCGCAGGTTGGAGCCAGTGCCGTCTCCTCCTTCTGCAAGATGAGCAGAGAATACGCTAAGCCCTTCTGACCTCAGCCGGGTAGCTGACACCGCTGACACCTGCCATGGGTTGCAAATGGGCGCCTAGCTGTGTATGAACACTGATACAGGAGTCATTGAAGATCATTGCTAGCCTCGTTACTCGCCATCGTTGTAACGATGCCTAATCTTCCTAGACTCCTTGGCTCCCGACCAGCGCGGCCAGTTCTTCCAATGCCTCAGGCATGCAGTTCCAACTAGCCCATGGCGTTGGTGACCAAGCCTTCTGCAGAGCTCAAACCAAAACCACATGTATAGACTGTATAGATATAGTGATAGATAGATCAAATTAGATAAGATTAGATTAGATAGAATAGACTAGAATAGAATTGGAATTAGAGTCAGGAAAGACTATTTAGATTAGATTTAGATTTAGATTAGATTTAGATTAGATTTAGATTAGATTTAGATTAGATTTAGATTGGGTTTAGATTAGATTTAGATTAGATTTAGATTTAGATTAGATTTAGATTAGATTTAGATTAGATTTATATTAGATTTAGATTAGACTTAGATTAGATTTGAATTAGATTTGGATTAGATTTAAAATTTAGATTAGATTTAGATTAGATTTAGACTAGATTTAGATTAGATTTAGATTAGACTTAGATTAGATTTGAATTAGATTTGGATTCGATTTAGATTTAGATTAGATTTTGATTAGATTTAGATTAGAATTGGATTAGATTTAGATTAGATTAGATTAGATTTGGATAGATAGATAGACAGACAGATAGACAGACAGATAGATAGATAGATAGCGGATAGATAGCGGATAGATAGCGGATAGATAGCGGATAGATAGCGGATAGATGGCAGATAGATAGCTAGATAGGTAGACAGATAGATAGGTAGACAGACAGACAGACAGATAGATAGATAGATAGGTAGAGAGATAGAGAGAGAGTGGTCAAACTTGTCAACAGCACAAACACATTGCATCCACGTGACGATGGACGTAGTCTTTTCCTGATCCAGCTGCATCGTAGTTTATGACGCAGGTCACACCCTGGCAAACAGCTGACCGATGCTGACCGTAACAAATGGAATGCAGGTCCCTCTCTGGCAAAAGCGACATGACAGGCCTTGATATCAAGTCCTCGTGCAGCAACATCGGTGGCACAAAGGATTGGGCTCTGGCCACTCTTGAAGGCCTTGCGCGGAGGACATCAACAGCGGGTGACCGAGATCGCAGCTAAGGCATGAAGATGCATCAACTAAGCATTTTGGCAGGGAATCTTGGGCAAGGACACTGAAACATTATGAAGTGTCTATATAAACTTCTCAAGATCCTTGAGTTGCAGTAATGCAAATATAAATTTCAAGCGGCGCGTTGTCTATACCTCGCCGCCTCCTGCTGGACTAACACGGGCAAGGGCTTCCACGAATGAAACAAAAGAAACGTGTACTGAGCGTACCGCCCAAGACTGGTTTTTTACAGTAAAAAGACTCAGTAGATTTTGACCATTTTGATCTTCCCCAGCTGTCCAGCTTTCTCCACCCCAAAGAAACGATGCGAAGCGCCTCCAACGCAGCAGTTCGCTCGTATTGTGCCATGTCACCGTGGATTCGCACGGCTGGTACCCCATGATACTGCATCAAATCGTTGGCCAAAATCTCACAAGATCCTTAGCTGCCACCTCTGCTTGGGGCCGAATCTCTTTCCATGACTCCATGACTGCTGTAGTGCATCTAGTGCTACCTTCACCACTTATCACCACTTCAGTTCTAGGAATGTTCAATAAAAATCAATAAAACCCATGCTTTCTAAAAAAATCCAGGGACCTTCCCTTTCTGGAATTCTGCCCATGTCCATCCCCCACAGATCCCACGGACCCCTAGGGTTTGGATGTCAAGGCTCTCTTCATTTCACAAAAGATCAGGCATCGATCGCCGCGGCCCAAAGAGTGCAGGATCTGCAAGAGCTGTTGGGCCTGGCTGATGGCACGTGTATGACCAAGATACATGACAATCATCACACGCAAACTATAATACAATTATTATATAAGTATAGTCTATAGTAGTATAATAAATTATAGAAATATATATATATATAATTATAGTGTGTATACATATATATATACAACTACATCATGAATCATAATATAAATAAATAAATAAATACATAAATAAATAAATAAACAAATAAATAAATAGATAGATAGATCGACAAATAAATAAATAAATAAATAAATAGTGATAGATAGATAAATAATTTAAATAAATAAATGGATGAATTAATAATAATAAATAATAATAATAATAAGTGGTTGAAGTTGATCATGATTTCAATTTCAATAGCACATCTGTATAGAATCAGACTGGTGCCAAATTTCATGCGACTGTCACGGCTCACCTTGTCAGCTTCATCGGAGCAAAACATGACTCGCTGCTTGATGTCTTTGTTCACCTCGGCGCGCTGTGAGTTGTGACTTGACATGCCGCACAAGTCCAGGGGAAAAATATGGAAAAATGAGATTAAATATGGCAAAATATGGAAAAAACATGTTGAAAATCCCCAAAGTCCAGCTGCAAATGGCTATCAAATGAGATTCAATGAGATTGAGCATAGCTTCCAAGTGTGATTTGACAAACCCGCGCACACCTGAGTCATTTGCATGTTCTACCTACCTCACCAACATCGGGAACAGCCCCACCCCAAGTGCAAATCAAAATCCAATTGATGTTTGTGATCTCGGTTCACCTACGCTACCCACACATACCTTCAGGCAAAAAACTTCCAATACACAAACATGGCAGCTGAAAACTCGCGACTTGCAACTGGATGTCACCCCTGAAATTGTTATAAATGTTGACACTTGATATGTCTACTTTGTATTTACTTCATCTTACGCTATGTTACACTTCATGTTTTCATGTCAGTGGAAAAAAGTATTGCATACTATTATACATATATATATTATATTATTATTACCATTATTATTATCATGATTATTCTTATATATGTTTGTTTTTGTATTATTATTATCATTAATATTATTTATTATCATCAATTGTTGCACCTATTATTGTTATTGTTATTAATTTCTATTTTCCCCACAGCGAATTATCGGCCAAAAAAAAGGCTTTTCCTGGGACTGTTCCCCTCAACCGCCCAGGCGGCACCGTCATCTCATGCACCGCGCCCGTTTGGACGTGGATGGGTCGTTTCAGGAACTCACTGGCCAAAGATCGCACTTCTCGGGGCCAGGTGGCCTTGAAAGGCAACTGAAACCACCAGGACTACAGCTAGTTATATGTTATAATGATCTGTTATAGCATTATATCAACATTATGAATATAGTTCATTATAACATATAATAGCCGTTGGAATATGTTGTAATATGTTACTGGCTGGTGGTTTAAACATGTTTAAACCTCTGCTAGACAAGTTGAAAACGTAAAAAGTAAAAAGTAATCCAAAGCACCACCTAGGTTATAATGATCTCGGCTACAGCTAGTATATTCTAGTATGAAAAACAACCATGGGACATAAGCCACCCAAATCTCAAGCCTACTGTCACCAAGAGACAGTGAAGAGCAAAGTTTGTCGCTGTTCAGGAACTTCCTTGATGACCTCGGTGTGAAGCTGACATCTTCGCCATCACTGGACACCCAACACACATGAAATATCATCAAACGTAAAAATCTCAACTCATTCTCGCAATGTTGCTAGCTGCTAGCAGAACGCCATAAGTGTTATTATAACTGTAGTGAAAGGATGTGAAAAGTGGGGTGTTCACCAACTGAGCACCTGGCTTGTCGGATCTGGGGTTCAAATCCCATGTCCAGCATCCGGTCTGCTTCATCCAAGACCAGGTAGGACACGTTGGCCAAACTCACAGAGCCACTCTGCAAAAAGTCATTGAGGCGTCCAGGGCAAGCTACAATCACCTGGGCTCCACGCCTCAAAGCCCCCAGCTGTTGACCCCTGGGTGCCCCACCATAGCAGCAGACGGTTCGAATGCCCGCGGCTCGGCCGAATTTCTCGGCTTCCGCTTCAATTTGACACGCCAACTCACGGGTGGGGGCTAGGACACAGAGCTGAGGCATGCGGCTGCGGGTTTGGGTGATCCTCAGGAAGCCAGGCATCAGAAAGGCCAAGGTTTTGCCACTGCCCGTCTTCGCAATGCCAATCAAATCTCGACCTGCCACCCCAATGGCCCAGGTATGCGCCTGGATGGGGGTCGGGGCTGTGAAGCCGGCCTCTAGCAGCTTGTGAATCAGTATTTCTGGGAACAATTCCTGCGCCTGTTGGAAGCTGGTCACAGCAGGAGGAACTTGTTCACCACTGGGACCAAAGACATGGACCTGTGCGAATTCCTCATCGGCCGTGGTGGACCATAAGGCCTCGGCCTCATATTCTGGGACGGCACCCTGGGAGTACTCCTGCCGCCAGCCATAGCCTTCATGTTGTTGATGTCCCTGTTGCTGGAAATCTTGGGTGAAGCCATTGTTTTGATAGGAGACCATATTTTGTTGGAAGCCACCATTGTAGCCACCTTGCGGCTTCATGGGATCTTGGAAGCCGCCGTAGTTGGCCATGCCATTGACAAAGTTCCCACAGCCTCCGCAGCCAGCGCAGCCTCCGCAGCCGGCGCAGCCTCCGCAGCCAGCGCAGCCACCGCAGCCGGCGCAGCCTCCGCAGCCAGCGCAGCCACCGCATCCGTGGAAGCCGTTGTTCCTGAGACCGTGCAGTGCATGGGAACAGTGGGAACACTTTTAGGGACCCAATAGGTGATGGTATACTACTGAATACCGAGGATCTGGATCGTGATAAGGATGTACGCAAGTATGCAAGGATAATGAAAAATATTAAAAAGATGACAGCCAACAATTTGATGCAAGTGCAGTTGAACACCCTGTCCGCAACCACTTCGTACTGAACGTCATCGTGATGATAATAAAAAAATGCACAGGAATCATCAGGGCAACCAGCATCTGACGAATCATGGAATGCACAGCTCATGTTCCCTCTAGTGCAGTTTTGCTTCATGCACGGCTGCTGCGGCTGCTGCTGCTGTTGCTGCTGCTGCTGCGCTTGATACATCTCTTCACTAAAGCCTCCTGCAACACATGTGTGATTAACAAAATAAGACAGTTTCAGTTCTGGAAGCCACACGACAACTGCTGGACAGTCCATATTGAGGCATAGCATACCCGTTGTTCCCCAAACCTGCAGCAAATTTGAGGCACATCCGCATGAAAAGTTGGCATGAAAGAAAGTTTGGCAGTGGCGGCCACAAAGAAAAAGTCACTCAAAATGAGGCATACCCTGCTTTGTGGCCATTTCAACAGGAAAAACGGTGAGAAACTGAGAAACATTGATTAACCGATTAACCATGCTGGGCCTTTTTGTGCTTGATCTGGCGGAAGGTATGCAGTCGCCATGCCCCCGGAGCACCCCTGCTGGCCAAATGGCAGAAATCCCAGGTTTTGATGGCGTTGCATCCCTAAAATCCAATGGTTTATCAGCATTTTTCTCATACTCATACTCTTATCCATTAAGATCTGTCAATGAGATTCAAGAAGCCTATATTTTGGTGTGATTTTTGGACGAACGGACTTTTGAGATGGTTTGATATCCAATCAGAATTATCATAATCATAATCTCAGACATCAGGACCTTTTGATAACTTTCCTATCTCTCCTCACTCCCTCAGTGGCCTCAATGGGACTATAACATCCACGATGAGCCTCGCACGGACTCGTGACTAGGCCCAGGAGTCTCTTCCAAGGAAGATGTCAGCAAAAAACAGTTTGTGGAAATGACATTGACTTACCAAAAATGTACCAAGGCAAAGTATTACTTCCATTTGAATTTCAGTTACAATTCATTGGATTGGGGTTTTCACCTTACTGCAAAACCAAATCCCATGGGGTGCTCTGCAGTTGTGAGCCCCTTTACCAACAAGAAAACTGGTAAGTTCCAACGTGCCTCCGTGGCAAACCCAGTGGCGCAATGCTTTGATCCAAACATATGCGACGGCGACATGACATGCCAAATACTGCCAGCCATGGCCAGCCCTCTTCTTTGAAAGTCGATGTCATGGGAACTGAACAAACCTGCCTTCTAGCTTTAGGCCAAGGGCCTCTGAGAGCATCCCGACTCGCCCAAGGAATGGACCTCTTGCATACATTTGCATACCTATTTAGGAAACCAGTGCTCAATACAGGGCGTACTCTTTTCACGCAAGGTGACACAACGAGAGGATTTTTACGCTGTGTCACTCAGCTGCTTCGCAGCGTGGACTTAGCGCCAAAATCGGCAGTTTTGGCACATCTGCGTGAAGTCTTCCCACATCTGCTCTATCAAGAGCAAGAATTGCTGACACATATCTTGAAAGAAATTGCCAGAGCCATACTCAAATTGGTACTCCTCTTTGGGAAGTCGAACGGGTAAGTATCGCTTTCCGGCCCGCCAGTTTTTCGGGAGCCGCGTTGTAAACCAATTTGAAACGGCAGCTTTGTCCGGGTGCTTGAAACACAGCACCGCACCCGGCGAGGTACCATTTGGAATGTCCAGCATTAGCCCTTTGGGTATCAAAAACACTCGCTTCTGTCCTGCTGGCACCGGTACATGGAGGGCCCTGCCATCACTTCTGCCGAAGTCATAGTGCCTCTCCGTAGGAGCCCATGGGGCTCGAAGCACATAGTCCGGCGCCGGACCAAAGTTGAATTCGAAGGTTTCTCCCACCGCACGTGCGGGAATGTCAACGGAAATGGTGCCATCCTTCAGGGTGTTCCTTGAAACCGTTCAAAGGTTACACAGGATTGCCTTGACTCACAATTCATCCGGAGTCATCACCATCATGATGACGTGTCAACTCCCGAAATTAATGTGATAAATGAAATAATAGATGATAATAATTATTATTATTATTGTTAATGAGTATTATAAAATATGTTTTACATATGTATATATATATATACACCCTGTATGTACACATATTACTGTATGTATGGTGTATATATATATATATATAGGCGGTATATAATGAAAAGATTCAGGCAGCTCTGTTGTATCAATGTTGCAGCTGATGCTGTGTGCGCTCACTCTTTTGTACTGTTGGCAAACAGTCTCAGGCTCAAGGCCTGTTGATCCATAATGTTGACAGTGACATCCAGCAGCTGTTGAACTGTACACGAATTGTGTGTTGGACAATGTTGCTACTTAACACGGCCCCTCAATTTGTTGGAGCTTCCAACACATTGCACAAAACAAACATTGTTAAAGCGCAATCACATTATGTTGATACTATTGGATTAGGTGTTGATCTCTGTACAGGGCTGATGGCTTGTAGTTTTACATCTGTTGCCCAGCCGCAGATGTTGATCAAACACTCATCTAATTTTGCGCATTCCCGGCTCTCACGTTTGAACCTCTTGTTGCGCAGGGATCTGCTGAAGATCCAAAGACTGTTGGTTGAGGTGCCAGTCTCACCTGTTGGATGACTTCTCATCCTTCCATCTGTTGATCATCATCGGTTGTTGCGCAATTCTCACGCAGCAACTGTTGGATCTCATCCTTGGGCATGGTGAGTGGCAAATTGTTGAGGCGCCACACATTGACCTCTTTGAAATGGTTGTTGATCATCTCTTCTGTCCACTGTTGCTCGACCCATGTTGCCAGGTGGCTGTTGCCTCTGATCCTCTCAACTGTTTTGGCTCCTTGGACCAGGATGTTGCCTGTGTTGATGCCGCTGGTGATGCTGGTGCTGTGCATCTGTTGCAGCATCTCCATCACAGCATCCCTGGTGGATGTTGTGAAATGATGGAGCATCTGTGCTCCACCATACTCCAAGCATTGGAGTACGAGCCTCTTCTCCTGTTGTGTTGATTCCACGTTCATGTTGGACACTTGGACCGGGATGTTGTAGGTCCACATCCAGTTCTTGTTCCACTGGAAATAGTTGCAGATCTGTTGAAGCATGGTGTTGCCTCCATCTGCATTGATCTCCCAGATCTGTTGGGATGCCAGCTCAAACGTTGTGAAACGAAGGTTGCATCCACTCTCGATCTGTTGCTGTGGATACATGTAGCCCCTGTTGAACATGTTGATCACCTGGTTGCCTGTTCGAAGACGATGTTGTTGAACATCCTCAACCCAGGTAATCATGAGCCACTTTGTTGGAATCTTCGTTGTAACATCATCTCTGTTGCGTGCATGTACATTGTCAGTTGTGGCGAAGGCGCTAAGATCAACTTATCGAAGTTGGGCATACGTTGGCTGCCCACAAGTGCTGGGATCACCGTGCTGGTTGACTCCACAGCCGTCTCTGTTGGTTTGATGGAGTTGTACTCCTCGATGGTCATCAAAACGACAAAACAAATTCATGTTGCAATCCGACTTGTTGTCTAAGACAGTCATGTTCCAGAAAGAAAATCACTGAGTTGAATCTCCATGTTGGCCACCATGTTGAAACTTCCCAGTAAATGAATATGTTGATATACTCCATGTTGAAGTAGATAACGTAGATATAGAACATGTTGTCAACCTTTGTTGACACCATGGCTCAAAAAGAAATGTATGTTTGTGTGTGTATATGCCACGCACGATGTTCGCACGTTGTACACGCGTCCGCACGTTAACACGCTAGCTACAGTGAAACTGTTGTTGTTGCTTGTTGCTTGTTGTTGTTTGTTCAGTGATGCTGGGTGCTGATGCCAACATCACTGATGTGACGCAAAAGCGTCTCTGTTGCAACGTACTTGGTGAAGATGTCGGCCGGGTTGTTGATCGTGTTGATCTTGACAATCCTCACAAGGTCGTGTGCGACCAATTGTTGTATGAAAAGGTGTTTGAGCTCGATATGTTTGGCGGCTTTCTTTGATGCTCCGATTCTTGTTGCCATGCTCTTTCCGCTTGATGAGTCGGTATATATGCGGATGTTGATCTTCTTCATGTTGAGAGCTTCCTTCAGGAAATTGCTGATGTGGAGTGCTTCTGTTGCTCCTGCGTTGATCGCATAGAGTTCTGCTTCCGCGCTGCTCAGCGCAATTGTTGCCTGTGTTCTGCTTCCGTAGTGGATTGTTGCGCCGAAGACTTTGATTAGAAATCCTGTTGTTGACTTCCTCGTTGTTACGCATCCTGCCCAGTCGCTGTCGACAAAGACTTGGATGTCTGGTACTGCTTCAGCTGTTGGTGTCTTGGTTGTAGGTCTCACGTATTGTTTGTAGTGTTGTGTTCCCTTGATGTACCTGAGCAAGTGCTTCAATTTCTGCTGGTCTGCTGTTGTTGGCTGTGTCAGTGCTCTTGCAAGCTCTTTTGTTGCAAAGCCAATGTCTGGCCTTGTGTAGGTCATCCATTGTAGCTTGCCAACCATTCTTCGGTAGGCTGCGTGTTCTTCTTTGTTGAGTTCTTGTTCCATCTCTGATGTTGCTTTCAGAGTGTTGTTGCCTGGTGCTGGTGCTGGGTTGCAGTTGAGCATGCTGGCTTCTTCCAGTATCTGAGTTGTGTAGCTGTCTGCTAAGCTGATCTCGTAGTAGTCACCTTTGTTGCAGATGTTTCTGCCCAAAAAGCTGATGGTGTTGCCGACTGTGAGTTCTCCTGTTGGACGGAGTAGGAGGTGTTGCTGGATGCTCTTGAACAGCTTGTTGACCGTCTCCTGTTGTCCAATGAAGAGCAAGTCGTCGACGTAGCATAGTATGTATGCATCTCCCTGTGGTGTTGCGTAGACGTTGGGCTCGCTGACAAGTCGTCGTAGTCCAAGTTATTGCATCACCTCTGCCAGGTCCATGCTTTTGGGCTGCTGCGTAAGCCATAGATGGCTTTGTTGAGCCGCCAGACGATCTGGTCGAAGGCGTTGTAGAACTCTGCTGGTGGATACATGAAAAGATCTGCTGTAGCTGCTGCTGCTGCATGTAGAAAGGCTGTTGAAATGTCTCCTGTGAGACAAATCCAGTTGTTGCAAAGTGCAAGGACAAGTAGCATCCTCAGCACACAAAATATTGGCGTTGATGCAAAGATGTCGTCGTTGTCGTTAATCTCCTCTATGTAGCCCTTTGCTACAATTCGTGCTCGAACTGTGTTGCCTTTCTGTCGAAGAACCCATCTTGACTTGATAATCTTCTTGCGTTGCTCTGGTGTGAGTTGACTTATGTGTACTTCTGTGTGCACTCCTTGTTCCTTCATTGACTTGATCTCTTGCTTCATTCCTTCCGTTGTTTGTTCTTTTTCTAAACCTTCGGTGTTGCTCACCCAAGGTTCCAGGAGAATCTTTTCTGCTTTGATCTCCTGTTCATCCTCATTTGATGTTGCTTCTATCTTCTGTCCTTTCTTTGTTGTGACTGTGACTTGTGATATCCTCATCCTTGTTGTTGGTGGCTCCTGAGCTGTCTCAGGTCTGCTTGCTGCTGTGGCTCTCTCTGTTGTTCTTGCTTGCTTTGGTGAGCTGCCTTGTGTGATCTCATCTGCTACTTCTCTTTTGCCTTGTGTCGGCAATGGAGTGGCTGCCTTGCTGGCTGAGTTGCTGGCGCTGTTGCCATTGGAAGGTCTGTAAGTGCTGGTGGTGTTGTGGCGTGTGGTTGTCCCATGGCTTGTGGCTGTGGACTCCGCTGAGTCTGTGTACTTGCTGTTGTCTGCTGCTTTGCTGCAGCGGGTTGTGGTAGTACCACAATGCTTGGTGTTGTTGGTGGTATCATGGCTGGTGAAGAGTTGATGATGTCCATCAACTGCTTGTTGTACTTGTCTGGCTTTATTTGTCTTCTTATGGTCCTTGCTCTGACCACTTTGTTGCTGATGCCAAGTATGTTCTCGTTTGTTGAGTTGTCCTTACCCAACCAGATGGCTGGATAGAACCTTGCTTCCATCTTTGGCATATGTTTTGCTGTTGGTAGCATGTAAAGAACTGTTTTACCAAATTCACATATTGGTGTTTTGTGTTCTTTGCCCCATCGTCTGTAGTAGCTTGTGTTTCCATCTGAGTGGATGGAATACCTGTTGAGCAGGTATGCTGCGTGTTTGATAAGCCACGGCATGATGGGATGCTTGCTGTTGAGCTTGGTACCATAGTTGGTCTCCAGTTGGAGTTTGAGAGCTCTGACTTGGCCCATCAATGTTCTGTGGAAACGTTCAACTCTTCCTTGTGCTTGTGATGTGTAGGCTGGTGCTTGCCTGACTGCTATGTTGCTGCACATGGCTGTTGCCACCATCTTGGGCAAGGAGATGATGAAATCTTCTTGATCTGACTGAAGAACAGTGTTGTTGAGGATTGCATGTGTTCTGCCACATTCCATCAGGAATTGTTGAAGGCAGAATGACAGGTATTGTACATGTTGTGTCTTGTCCTCAAGCTGGACCGCCATGCACATGCCTGTTTCAACGTCCACTGCTGTAAGGGCTGATGTTGTTTGCTTCTCTCCTAATGCTTTGTAGTACATCAGATCCACTTGGATCACTGGTGTTTTGCTTGTTTGCTTCGGGTGGTTGTCCTGTCTTCCTTTGCTTTGTACGCATGTTGGACACCAGCTTCTGTAGGGAAGGTGTGTCAGTTCATGTTCTCTTCTTTCCTGTTCTGTTGGTTGTTGTGGTGTTGGCACTCCTGTTGCTCTCTTGGCTTCTTGTTGCTCCTCTGGCTCATCTGTGATGAACTCATCTTTGTATGCTGTGTTCTCCTCAAAGTTTGTTGAGCCTGTCCACTCTATGTCGAGTGTTGCTTTCCTCTTTGTTGTCCAATCGTCATCGATTCTATATCCTCTGTTGCCACTTGTTGGCTTCACCATTGTTTGTCTCCATGTTGTCAGTCTTGTCACATCTGGTCCATCATCTGTTTGTTGTGGAATGTACATGTCCCTTCTTGGTTGGACATGCACACGTTTCCAATATGGACCTTCTTTGATCCAATGGTCCTGTGTTGGACCGACTTCCATTGGATGTGGGAGTGTGGCTTTGTTGTGGTCATTGCTTGACCCGTTGGCCTCACCTTTGTGAGAGGCTTCTTCACGACACAACGGTGCTTGTGGTTGGTCTGCTGTGGATTGTTGAGATGTTGCTGGTGTTGGCCCATTGGCTGGTGGAAGTGCTGGTTGTGGTGGTATGTTGCCTGGAAGTGCTGTTCCACGCTTCACTTTGAACCATGTTTCTCCTGTCCAGTTGTTTCCTTGTATAATCCTCTTTTGTTGCTTCTTGTCGAGGTCTTGGTATGCTTCTTCGATGACCTCTGTGTTGTTGTTTGGTCTTTGTATGATTGTTCTTATGTCAATCATGATGTCCACTTCGACGTCTCCTCTCTGCTGTTGCACTGCTTGAGCTGTTGTGGTTGCTTCATTGTGGGCACTCGCTGCCTGATGGCCCAGTGCTCCCACAAGTTGAATTGTTGGTGTTTGAGCGTTTGTTGATGGTGCTGGCAAAGCTAGCTGAGGTTGTTGTTGGGCTGGCTGAATGTTGTAGTTGCCTGACTGGTCGTTGCTGTACCAGTAGTTGTCATACCCACTGTTTGGGTCATACCATTGGGATGTTCCATCCTGGTTCTGTTCCTGTGGTGTGTCTGCCATGTTGTACACCGCTGTTCGGCAATCCTTTGCCAAGTGGCCCTGCTGACCACATCTGTAGCATATTGTTGTTGGATTCTTCCCTTTTCCTTTGTTGGGAATTCCTTTCGACTTTCCTTTGTTGCCTTTCTCTACTCCTTTTGGCTGATACCATTGCTGTTGCTTTCCTTTGCCTTTTCCTTTGTTGCAACTGCCGTAGCCGCCGTAGCCCTTTCCTTGTTGGTATCCTTTGCCTTTGTGACCTCCTTTGTTGAATCCTTTTCCTTTGTTCTTTCCTTTTCCTTTTCCTTTGCCTTTGTATGTTGCTCCTATGTCCATTGGAGCTGGGCCTCCTCCTAAATTGCTGCTGACTGCTGAAGACGACTGTTGTTGGAGTCTTGAGAACGCTGTTGTGGTCCTATAGTACTCCATGATTGTTGTCCTCACCTCAGTATATGTTGGTGTTGCACTGGCATTAAGGTGTAAGTGTTGTTGGAGTGGTCCTGTTGTCTCATTCATGAGAACTGCTATCTTCACTTGGTCTGGTAGTTGGGCGTTGTTGTCACGCTCGTAGCGTGCAAGATCAAATTCCCATGTTGAGAAGGACTCCTCAAAGTTGTTGGTGTCGAACTTGGGTTTGAGTAGCTTTGTGAGGTGGCCTATGCTTCTTGTGCCAACAGGTGTTGCAAACCTGTTGCACAGTTGTCTGTAGACTTCTAAGCCCATTGCGTCTTGGTATTGTCTGCATATTGTTGCTGCTGGGCCGCTGGTGATGTTAATGGGTATGTATTTGAGGTTGTTGCACAGTTGTGTCCACTTTTCTCCTTCCTCTATTGTTGTTGCTGCACCAAGCAGCTCTGCATCTGTGAGCACTGTTGTTGCTCTTTCTGCTCTTGAAAGCAGTTGTGGAAAGATGTCGTCCTGTAGGCCCATGTATGCTGAGAACTTGTACTTCCACTCTTCGAATGTTGCATAGTTGCCATCATATGTTGGAGGTTTCAACTTCAGCCTGTGTGTTGATGCTAGGGCTTCTGCTTGTGTTTCTCCTGCTGTTGGCGATCCTATCTCATGTGCCGTCGCCATCCTTGTTGTTGAGGGTCCCCCACACTGTATAGTTGGGATCAAGCCCTCTTCCTGCGCACCTTGTTGTTGAGTTTGTTTCTTTACCTTGTCGTTGCAGTGGTGGTGTGTTGGGCTGCTACCCTTTGTTGCTCCAGCTGTTGTTGAGAGTCCCCCAGTGTTCTGGGATCAAGCCCTCTGCCTGTTGGAGCTCACCTGGATGCTTCCAGGATCACTGCTCCGCTACCATGAAAAGATTCAGGCAGCTCTGTTGTATCAATGTTGCAGCTGATGCTGTGCGCGCTCACTCTTTTGTACTGTTGGCAAACAGTCTCAGGCTCAAGGCCTGTTGATCCATAATGTTGACAGTGACATCCAGCAGCTGTTGAACTGTACACGAATTGTGTGTTGGACAATGTTGCTACTTAACAATATATATATATGTATATATATACAGGTATATATATATGTATATAGGTCTGTATAGGTGTATATATATATATATATATTTATATAGGTAAATATATATATATAGGTGTATATATATATATATGTGTGTATGTATATATATATATTATATATACATATATATATACTATACATGTATATATATATACATATATATATATACATATATATATATACATATATATATACATATATATATATACATATATATATATATACATATATATATATACATATATATATACATATGTGTGTGTTATAAATCTTCTCCAATCCAGTCCTTGGTTTGAACCTCCTGAGGTCCTGCCCTTGACACCTTCAAGGTGACTTTCTGAGGCCTCAAAGCCTTCACCACCACCTCTTGACGCTTGGGTGAGGTGCTGGCGTCCAACATCTTGGCGTCCTGGGTTTCCTTGCGGCCCTTCATGCCCTCGGGTGCTAGGTGATCCGCAGGTGATCCGTAGGTGATCCGAAGCGATCCGAGAAACAAAAAAAACATTGGAACATGCAGAAATCTCAGTGTAACGCTGTGAAAAGCAAGACATCGAAGGAGTGGATTGGTATGGATTGGTGCTGCTAATATGTACATCAGCTTACTCCATACATGATGATACCATTCATCAATAAGAAGGTAGACAGGACATGTGTTCCTCCGTTTGCATCTTCGAAAACATCACAACGATCAATCCTGGCTGGCCGTTTCGTATCCATATGTTTCTCCCCATATGCTTGGTATGGGGTAGAAATGGGTGAAGAACCACTTTATAATACAGCAACAACCAGCAGCATCTGCTCAGATACCAACAAGCTCGGCTGGTAGTTGTCAAATCCATGGATGGTGCTGAAAGAAGCGTTGCTGGCGGCAGTTTTCTGGCTAGAACTGCCAGGCTCCTGAATCTCTCTGAGCGGCAGGACATGCATTTTTTAAAGGTAGGATTATGTGATATGTAGGATTAGGTGGTATGCATGTATGATCATGTAACATGCATGATTCATATGATTCTGTATGTGATATGCGTATCCGATCCCTCCAGTGACCCTTAAATTCAGTGAAGCATCACCAGCACTGGAGCTCCGGCGGCTGGGCGACTTGGCCGATTCAGAATCCAGCAGTGCTGTCCTCTCAAGCTCCGTCTTCGCAGCCGTCGCAGCCACCTGTTGGATCCGCAAATCTGGAGATTTCTGCAGCTGTTCCGACCACTCCAGCAGTTTGGGCCCAAGGGTGTGCAGCAAAATCATGCCCGTCACTGAGTAGCAGAGGATATACAACTGAGCCGCTGTGAAGATGTAACTGCACACCAGAGATGCCCCAAAGAAGTGCAGCTCCTTGGGTTTGCCGCCCAAGGCACCTTGGATGGTAGC